CCCGGTCCAGAGAGGTGGATTGTCGCTCTTTCCCAAGGGGTCAGGCGGTCGAAACAGTCTCGTGAAACCAGCATCGGAGCAGATGCCGGAGGGCAGAGCAGGAGCCACGTTCGGAGAAGCCCTCGGAGACAGCACACAAGTCCAGAGCGCGGACCGCATCATTCACGCCATCGACGGTCTGAGAAGAGCACAGGATGACGACAAAAACCTCACGAAAGGGACCTTGAGTTCTATCAAAGAGGCGGAGAAGATGGACGTCTTCCTGGCACGAGGCTGTGGCACCCTGACCGTTGAACTCGCACCGGGAGTGTACGGGAAGGAACTTTTCCACGCGGGGAAAAGGGTGGCAAATCACGCTCGCCATATGCTGCACTTGATCAAATGGCCGGTGCTGATGACCAACAGGGTCCTACTTGGCATCGCTGGTCTGTGGTGGGGTGGCAAAGACACCTATACCTTGCACGCAAGTGACTGCGTTACCGCTCGGTCCGAGCAGTTGGACAGTTGGAATCCGTCCTCCGACAACAAGATCAAAAATCGCATGAGACCACCAGGAGTCTTCAACACTTGGCTCAGGTACGCGGAAAACTCAGTTCGCGTGTTTGGATCCTGCTATGGTACAGAGCATATCCAAGAAAGGCTCGATTGTCTCCAAGCCCTGAAGAAGGCCCATGAAGAAGACGAGCATGCCTTCCCAGCTGCCTACTGCATCGAGCTCTTTGAGGAACTTGTCGCGGCTTGGTGCGAAGAACTGCGAGAAAGCAGAAGGAAACTCTGCTCTCTGCTGGGGACCGAAAATCCACGGCTTGAAGACCTGAAGCTGCTAGCTTTGGCGCCGGGAGCGGATGGGCAAGCAAACTTCCAGTTTCCAAGCATATGGGATCTGGGCGACCCGAACGGATATTACCAGACAGTTGTGGTACCCAGGCAGCAAAGGCAAATGTCGAGGCTGCTCCACAAGCAGCTGCACGACCACAACCTCAAGCAGAAGAAGACAGCTGGTCCAGCTGAAGATGAAGAGCCAAGGACAGGGAAAGCCCCAAAGCTTAACCTGAAAGACAAAGAGGCCGATGGATATGCGGGCGGCAGCATGAAATCAGCCTACCCAGCTGGAAAACGGCTTGCACAAGGAGAAGCTTCACGGTCCGTGGAGCACGCACCTAAGGATCCCAAGACCAACAAACCTATCTGCTGGGATGCGGCCACACACATGGGATGCACAAGAGGCGACAAGTGCCAGCACGCGCACGAGCCTTTGCCGGGATTGGCCAAACTTGACTACACAGTTGCCATGCAGGTCATTCGAAGAGGAGGACTCAAAGGTGGGCCGAAAATCGATCCCAAAGAGGTCGACGGAAGGGTCGCTCAGCTGCGAACCCAGGCAGCGGCGGATAAGGCCGACAAGATCCAACCTAGCAAGAAAGCGAAAGTCAAGCCCAAGCCAAAGGCCAAAGCTGGGAAGGAAGCTGAGGGTAAAGCTGAAGAAGACAAGGTTGGGAACACCCAGTGAGTCGCACCTGAAGACTATGATATCCCTCTGACCCATCTCGAGACTGACTTGCAAGAGGCGGTTCAGGGCCCAGATGAGGGCTGGCTGCGAATACCCTCACAACCCACTGAGCAAGAAGCCGCTCCGGCTTGGGATGACCAGAGCCAAGAGGAGCGGGAAAGGCTGAAACGATGGAAGTCGCTGGAGGAGAAAGGGGTTCTGGCGGCCTTGGAGTCGCCCACGGATTATCTTAGGTCCCATGTGATTGCACGCATGATGGCAGCACAAGATGAAGGATATGAACTGGAGCTGAACCGGTGTCTCGAAGATGCGGCAGAACATGGACATCCCGCGCTCTCTAAGGAAGCCGGACGTCAACTTGAGCTCCTCAAGCACGAGCCAAAAGCGGGTCACCAAGCGGATGTCGAATTTACGCCCATCACATGGGACGAGGGTATTGGTCATGGCCTGTTGAACTTTCAAGGAAACTTGTCGCATATCGGCTCAGTCACGGTCCGTGACTACCAGGATCGCTTGAACGCAAAAGACAGCGAGGTCCCACTGCAAGACGGGCAGTTGGAAGAAGAGCGCCAATGCCTGCTTCTTCATGTGGGTGTCGGGTTAGCGTTGGCCGATGATCCATCTGTAGAACTACGAGAGGCCGTAGCCAGAGCCAACCAGTTGAGAAAACATCTCTGGGATGAAGCAGTGGAGGCTCACGCACACCTTGGCGATCCGCCAGCGTGGATACCTGAGGGCGAGCACTTCTTGCGTCAAAACGTCCATGATTGCCTCTATCCTCACCACGAGAAAGACTACCGCGCCTTGCAAACCCTCACAGGATCCATGCTGCAAGGATACACGTTGGCGGTCCTCAGGATTTCCTATTTTGGTCGGTTGGAGGTCGACTTGCTCCACGGAGATGATGCTGGCAATGGGAAGCTAGTTTTCGTTACCATCCACCGGGGGCATATGCGCCTGCTTCTTCCACAACAGCCCCAGCAGCTGTTGGATCACCTGAGGACTGCAGACAAGGTCACCAGGGAACTTCAGGTTGAACATTGGAGGGTGATCTTGGACCAGAGCAAAGTGGAGGATCAGATGGTTCCAGCCAAGCCCCCCGCCTGCACAAGATGCCAGCAACAGCAGCAAAGGCCTTATCGTGTTGGTGAAGGATTCCCGTTGCCACCGGCTTCATTTGAGTCCTGCTTGCAGGATGATCCACAGGCTCTTCAAAACAGCGGTGTGCCTCTGCGAAAAAGGCTCGCCTTCGCCTATGGGCCAATTGGTCAAGAGGTGTACGCTGGATGGGCAGGATGGACCAAGGGGCTTCAGTACCAGGGGATCCCGTGCGGAGAACCCATTGAATACTATGAGGACCCGATCGAGCAAAAGGGCTTTAAGCCGCAGCATGATACCCGTGACCCGAAGGTCCGAGAACGATTGCTGGGATTAGCTGGTGCTCCACCAGGGCCCGATGTCCCCAACACTTGGCAGCTTGGAATCGTTTGTACTTCCTTCTGCGACCACCAGCTGAAGAACGGTGGCAGCAGGACCTGGCAACGCCCACAAGGCGACGGCACTCGTCCCTCTGAAGTTCAAGGAAATGAAGACGCAGAGTTCGCAGCCGAACTTTGTACGGTTCTGGCGGACAACGGAAGAGTCTTCGTATTGGAGAGTAGCGCGCCGTCGGGCCGCTACCCCAAGATATGGGACCTGCCTTGTATGCAGAGGCTCCGCCGCCGCACCGGCGCAAAAATTGTCTCTATGGCTATGTGCGCTTGGGGTCTGGGACCGCCTGAGACGAGGAGGGCCTGTTTCATCGCAAGCATTCTTGGTGGCTGGTCTCCCCAGAACTCTACCCATGGGCCTTGTTATTCCTTGGTAGGCAGTGCCCAGGAGTCGGCCCGACTCACCAGCACGCACCCTTGAAGGGACCCAGTCCAATTCCTCAAGTACCTCTCACTCGACTGGCACAGCAATACGCACCAGCTTTGTGTGCAGCCTGGGGTCTGGTAGTCCGAGCAGCCTTTGAAGAATGGAGCTGGACAACATATCTGCAAGAGCACAGCGTGCTCAAAGCCCTAGAGAAATGTTGGACCGAACTGGACGCACCCCCTTGGCCGGCTGATCCAGCCAATACGTTGGAGCGAACCCTTGGCCAACATTTGGCACCGGTGGTTGCTGGCCAAGCGGATGGACCAGGCCTCCCACATGGCTACACCTGTTCAGGATGCGAACTCCAACAGATGGTCTACCCTTGTACGTTTTGTGGGGGGGAGGGGTCTGTTTCCGATCCCGAAAAGCACGCCGAGGGGCAGGGCACAAGGGCAGGCAGCGTCGACGACGCCAATGGCCAAAGCACTGCTGAGAAATACTTGGAGGTATGCCAGAGTGCTTACAGCAAGGAGGCAGTGAGAAAAGCCACAGAGGCAGGAAATGCGTTGTTGAGGGCCGCCGGCTCGGTGCCAAGAGCAGCTGAATTAGTCAACAAAGCGAGGCTGAGGAAGTATGGGGAACACTTCCAGAAGGCAAAGGAAGGAGCATTGAAAGGGCTCAGCCCCCTACACGAGCAATACTTGAAAGACTGTGTGCTCAAGGGCGTGCCCAGCCGAGCTAAGAGTACCCCCAAGAGAGAGAAGGCCCGAAACCACGGCTCCGTCAGGGGGCACGAGGAAGAGATGCTGCAGAAGGCATGGAAAGAAGCATCTTATGGGGCGGTACTTCTGTGTTCCACAGAGACCGAGGACCAGGAAGAAAACCGGCAAATCGACCAGATACTGACCGAGAGCAAGGTGGCCGAGAGCCCTCTCGGCCGAGTGCCCAAGCAAAACCCCGACAGAACCATCTCAGCGGAAGGTCGTCCCATCAACGATATGCGAGCCAGGAGTGCTTCGGGCTCCAAATACGACCACCCACCCGCCGCTCAGCCTAGGCACAGAGCAGTGGTCAGGCAAAGCCTTTGGTGGAGGGTGCGACACCCGAAGGTTCCACAGAGGTGTGCGAAACGCGATGTGCCAAGGGCTTTCAAGTGGCACTTCCTCAAGCCGGGCGATGTCCCTGAATTCTGCACGAGGATTCTAGGTGTGCTGATCCTGAGTCTGGTGATGGTGTTCGGTTGGGTAGGAGCGCCAGGGAGTTCGTGATATGGGCCACCGCAGCCCAAAAGCACCACGGGTCGTTCCGACCATGCCATCCTCAATTCAACGATGTGGTTCCCTACACCAGCCGATGGCTGATGGATGACGGCGTGGTGGTAGAGCCACTAGTGGGGAATAGGATCCAGAGATCCCTGTCAGCAATGGATGCAGCTATGGTATCAGTCTGGGGCCCTGGAGCCATCAATCTCGACAAGCTCGCCGAAGAAGGCACCCCGGCAAAATCCCAGCTCCTGTGGGGCCTCCACCTAGACTTTGAAGAACAGGTTGTGGTCCTCCCGGAACCGAAGCGAATAAAGGCGAAGTATCTCCTAAGAGAGCCTCAGCTTCAAAGGGGGTGCCAACGAGTTCGTACCAAGCTGCTCCGAGAACTGGCAGGGACAGCGCAGTATTGGGCCGTCTCCGCTCCGGAGATTGCACCCTATCTACCAGTCTTTTACAGGCTCCTGCAGCAGGAGGTAGGCGATCATGAATGGGTGAAACCCAGGGGCTCCGAGAGTGAGCTAGAGGCTGCCTGGGCTGAGTTCTGGGATGCGCTCGATTGGGTTCGCCTCCAGATGGAAAAGCCTTGGGGAACCAGTTTCAGAGCAGCTTTCGGCAAGCTCCTGCCGTTAAGGGAAAGGCTCGCACTCCCTGGCATGGCCGCTTCGGCCCGATTCGTTGGAGGAGATGCCACGCTAACCAGGCTCGGAAGCACTGATTGGAAGGATAGATGCTACCACATGGCGGACAGCAGCAGATACGTCAGGGCCGTGAGCGAAGTCGTAGGGGGCGGAGATCACTTGGAGATCATCGGAGTGATGGAGCTTCTGACGTTCATTGTCCTGGCAGCGGCGCGGAAGGAAACCTGGCAGGGGCAACTGATCCTTTATGTGACTGACAACATGAATGTCAAAGCATGGTTACGTACCAGGCGCGCTTCAAACAGATACGTGAGGGCGCTCTTGCTGCTGCTCCAGCGGCTCGAAGCGGAGAATAGCTTCACTGTCGATGGAGCGTACGTCCGTACCTACCACAATACTCTCAACGACTGGCTGACAAGGGAGGATGAAGACAAGGTCCATGCGGAAATGGAAAGCAGTGGCTGGACCCGCCTTGAGCTCAATGAGGACTGGGAAGGACTCCTGCGAGAAGCCATGCGCCCCACGTTGAAGCTACCAGGGGAGAAGGGCCCGAGTGCAGCTTTAGCCATTCAGCTGGCCAACGAACAGCAAACCGTGCATGCCTTCCCCGCCAAGATCGAGCCAAAGCCATTCAAAGGGGGACTCCACCAAATCCGGCTAGGGTCGGAACTACTGACGTTCGAGCTGGGGTGGGCCAAGGGCGGAGGATCGATCGCAAGCCAGGCGCAAGCTGACTGGATCGTCTGTGTTCTCACTCAAGACCCAAAAGGGCGGGAGGCAGACATCCTTCTAAAAACCCTCGCCAGAACTGATTGGAGAGGACGACTTATCGTTGACCAGCCCAGGGAGCTCTCTGAAACCAGCCGAAATCGCCTGATGCAGCTTCAGGTTCAATGGGGTCAGGCACAAGTGGTCGACTATCAGACTTCACACCACGGCAGCTTCTTTGCCAGGGCCAGAAGACTTTGGCTTTTTGGAGGAACGGCCGACGAAAAGGAGAGAGTTCAAGCATGGCGAGTTGCACAAGTCAACGAGTGTCAGATGTTACCTCTGCGATCCGCAGAGGAGTCAGGTAAGGGATTATGCCCGCCCGACTACCTTTTCACGAGAGAACCAAACCTCATCACCACCGGAGACAAGTGGCTTCCAAAACCAGTCGGCCACTTGGTTGACGTGCGCGCCGGCAGCAGGCACCTGGTCCATAGCACACGGGGCCCAGCTTGCGGACCTAGGCTCACAGGTGAGCGTCTCAAGATCCCAGGAGGCACCCTGTTGGAAGATGGGACGGGTCTGGTCCGTCCTCTCCTCCCAGAAGAGGTGTGGGAAATGCAAGGGGGCCTCGCAGAGGATTGGCGTTCCGCCGACTCGAAGAGAAAGGATCGCATGATAGCAGCTGCAGTCCGGGAGCCAGGCTGGCAAGTGGCTATGAGTCTCATGCAGGCTCTGACTGGAACCGATGGGAAGGCAGGAGTCCTGGACCCCGATGAGATCCAAGCCCACGAGCAACTAGAGGTCTGGCTGCGAGCGTGGGGGAGGAACCCGAAGGCTCCCTCTTCCGAGCTTTTCCTTACTTCGTGGAAAGAGCCACGTGTGGCAGTGGCACCCACTCATGAGTTCGTGGGAGCGACAACCCAGGCGAAAGCAGGCGGAGGCAAACGCACCACCGTGAAGCCAGCACTCAGTGAAGTGGAGAGGCTGGTCCAGCCCGCATCCAAAAGAGGCGGGACTACTGGGACCCCCCGCCCCCGAGGAGGGAGCACAGCAGAGCTTGACCAGGTAGCCATGGAAGCTGTCTTGGCCAAACTGGCTGATTCAACTCGCAGGGTCTATGCATCAGGCTGGAAGCAATGGGCGTTGTACAATGCCAGCTCGGGCACTCACCCGTTCCTTGACGGAGAAGAGCGCTCCGCTCGGACTGAAGACGAGCAGAGGTTGATTCGGTTTGTAGTATTTCTACATCAAGTCATGGGAAGGTCCATAGGTGGGGTCAGACAAAGGTTGTCAGCCATTCGTTATGCACATGTTGCGGCAGGATACCCTGATCCACTGGTCGGGCGACCTCGGTTGTGGGCAGCGGTTGCGGGTCTACAACGTTGGGAAGGCGCCCCAAAACGAAAGCTCCCTGTTACCCCCAACATGTTGCGATGGTTGGTCCAGCACTTGAAAAGTAGCGGTTTATCAGTTGTCGATCAAACCATGATCAAAGGAGCCCTTCTTACAGGTTGGTTTTTCATGATGCGGGCCAGTGAACTCTTGCCCAGTATCAATGGAGAAGACCCCATGAATAGGGCGCTCCGCCCAGCTGATGTTGCTTTCTTTTCGCATGGGCAGCCTACCATAGGCGCCAAGGCCGATGAAGTCGTAGTGCAGATTAGATCTTCAAAAACCGATCAGTATGGTAGGGGCCAAACACGGTCACACCACCGCTCCGGTGGAGATCTCTGCCCTGTTGAAGCCTTAGCCGCGCTACAGGTCCTACAGCCCCATCGGTGGCGCAGCCCTGAAGACGAGGCGCCTTTGTTCCGCTATGAAGACGGGACGGGGCTTGACAGAGAGGGCATCACCCATTTCATCAAGATAGCTGCATTGGCCGCCGGGTTTCCTGGCGAACTCGCTGGTTCACACTCACTACGTAAGGGGGGAGCCACTGCATTTTTCGCAAGTACTGGGGACTTAGAAAGGCTTAAGAGGTACGGTGGTTGGTCATCCGATGCTGTTCATGCTTACCTTTATGAAGATCATACCGCTCAGAAAGGGATTTCAGAAGGGATGTTGGGTACCAGCCTCATTACACTCCCCAGCCAAAAAGACCCCGGGGTCCGTAGGCATCCAGCGGTTGTTTCAACTGAACCCCAAGAGTCCTATCCTGGTTTATTGGGGGTCCCTCAAGATGAGTTATTCCATAACAGTCATGGAGGATCAAACCCTTTTAGCAGCCCAGTTGCCACGAAGCGAACATCCAGAGCTCCTCGAGGCTCAAACACCAATCGTGCATTTTCGTGGGCACCAGATCGTAAGGTATCGTTTGCAGTGAAGGCTGGTGCTATGGATGCTACTGATGAAAGTGCCGATGGGGGACGAAAGCCAGCAGCTCCAGATCGAGCCAATGCAGCGAACCTCTTTGTAGCAGCTCACCCAGGACTAGATCTTTATCAATTCCTGGGTGTTCCACCCGGTGCGACTCCAGCTCAGGTGCTCACCGCATATCGTCGCAGGTCCCGTGAGACTCATCCAGACCGCTTTGCAACTGCTGGGGAAGATGTCCAGAAAGCCAAAGGAGAGGAGTTTAAGATGTTGGGAATGGTCCGAGAGATCCTCTTGGATCCACTGATGGCCACTCAATACATGAGGTGGAGACAAGAGCAAATTGCTGCAAAGCATGGGCGAGGCCGTTCCCCAGTTGTTCCAGCTGGTGTCTATGCCAAGCAAGCTTCATCATTCCAACAAGCCAGATCAAGTTTTGATCGGTCCTCCACTCCTGCTGGCGCAGGAGCCAGCAGCTCGGGAGGAGCAGGCCGGGAGGTGCCTCGTAAACCGCCCCCCCCTTCACAGGGATATCCTGGAGGAGGAGCGCAAGGAGGACCGCCCCCAGCCAAAGCCCCTCCTGCTCCAGCAGGGACCGCGCAAAAGCCAAGGAAACCTCCACCGCCCGCGAATCCGCCTACTCCGAGCTCAAGTGCGAAGCCAAGGAAAGCACCGCCACCAAGAAATGATGATGGGAGGCCCAGAGGACCTACCACCCCACCAATGCAAAAAATGGCACCCACGCAAGCTATTCCAAAGGGAGCACCGCCAACACCGGCCAAGCATTTCCCCAGGGCGACCCAACCATACACTGGAGGGGGCATGGTGGACGATTTGCGAGTTCCTCGCATCGCACTGGCAGATGCAGGGGTGAAACGATCAGACGCTCCGTCTGAGTCTTGGTGGTCAGAGACGTCATCCAGATATAGGGCCCCTTCGAGCTGGTTGGAGCCCGGGTCTGAGCCTTGGGTCGAAGATGACCTTCCACCGGAGAGCACCGTCCCAGACAACGAGGATGACTATGTGTATGTTGAGGTGGAAGCTGAAGACGATGACATGGACATCCTCCAAGACCACCAATTCGATGAAGAAGATTGGGACGAGCCGGCATGGGAAGAGCTCCCTGAGGAGGGGACCGGGTCTGAGCAAGTCTTCCAAACCTTCGATCAAGCCGTGATGCAAGGACTGCTCCAGTTCATGGATTTCGTGAACAGAGGACGGGCCAAGATGCTGATTGAAGGTGCTCCACCTATGACTTCTGTCCCAAAAGAGGTCCGGGAGGCATGTTTGGGAGACCATCCGGGGCTTCTAAAAATGCATCCCAGCGCAAAAGCATGGCTA